CGGGTGACTTGTTTCCTTTAACCTTCCCCATCTTTTCCTTATTTTTTATGAGTTGCTGTTTAATAAATTGTATGTGCTCTGAACTCTATGTACTGATCAGTGGGTCACGGAAGCATCGGGTGCAGGAAGTGCCCTGGAGTGGGGACACCCTCGCCCCTGACCACAACAAGACTGGGGGTCGAGTCCCCAGGGATCCAGGGCCCAGCCTTGCCGGGGTTACGAGGACTCTGCCGCATGGGAGGGAGGAAGGGGAGCCCTCGAGGTCAGGCAGGCCTCTGGGTAAGGGGAGTGGGAGCGAGGACTCAGATCCTTTCACTCGCCAATCCCACCGGGGCGTGTATAAACCAGGAAAGTTCCCCACAATAGCGGGACCGTTCCCCTGCTTACACTAGGAGCAGGGTCAGCGGCTGCCCTGCCCGTCCGTCCAGAGAGTGAAATGAACCGGTTCCTCCCTCCAAGTCCGGCTGGTCTGAAAACAAGCGGCTCTGCTCCGGTGACTCCTGAAGGAGCGAGACTTGGAGCCGGTCTGACTCCAGCTGTTGGCTAGGGTTACCATACATCCGGATTTTCCCGGACATGTCCGGCTTTTTGGGCGTCAAATCCCCGTCTGGGGGAAAATCCCCAAAACCCGAACATGTCCGGGAAAATAGGGAGGGGCCGGCGCTGCTGGGTGCTGGGCCGGGGGCCGGGCTGGGGCTGGCAGTGCTGGGCCAGGGGTGCTCGGCCGGGGGCTGGCCTGGGGCCCAGGGGTGCGGGGCCGACAGTGCTGGGCCGGGGGCCGGGGCCGGCAGTGCTGGGCTGGGCCGGCGTTGATGGGCCAGGGGCCAGGCTGGGGGCTGGCGATGCTGGGCCGGGGGCCGGGGCCAGGGGCCGGCGGTGTGAGGGCCGGAGGCCGGTGATGCGGGGGCCGGGGGCTGGCGGTGGTTAGATCGTCAGGACTTGGCTTTAGGGTGGGGGCTTTTTCTCACTGTGTCTGTGCAGCAACCAGCACCTCTGACTCCCAGCCCCCTCCCAATCTAACCACTAGACGCCACTCCCCTCCCAGAGCCAGGGATAGAACCCAGGCATCCTGGCTCCCAGACTGGGGGTGGGGATTAAATAGATAGATGGGTACAGAGGGTTGCTCTGGATTTTGGTCCTTGGGCAGTTTCAGTCGTAGCTCCCAGGAATCTCTGGGATCTCGGAGAGGTTCCTCTGGCTGGGTTTTCCCCGAGGAGCCCCGTCTCTGGGACTGTGTGGCGAGAATGGGGTGCAATGACTGTGCTGGGGTCTGTCTCATGGCCTGTCTCCTTCTCATGGTAGACCTCAGGTACCCCAAACCCTCCATCTCCCTGAGCCCCAGTGGGGATGTCGCCCTGGGGGGAGCTGTGACCGTCCAGTGTCGGGGTCGGCACCAGATCATGAGGTTCCTTCTGTACCAAGATGGAAACCCAAATGTGCTCCAGGACGCAGAACCTGCTGGGGACCTGGCTGAGTTTCCCATTCGCGACGTGAGCCAGAGAGATGCAGGGAGCTACAGCTGCTATCATCATGACAAAGTGTACCCGTTCACCTGGTCGCATCCCAGCGACCCTGTGGAGCTGGTGGTAGCAGGTGAGTTGCCTGGCTCAGTATCCCCGGTCCCAGCCCCACACCCAGCTGGACCCTCAGGGGCAGGGGCATGTGCGAGGGGGCAAGCTGACACAGGCCCCCCCTGAATCAGTGGGGCCAGAGCACAGAACTCCTCCGGGGAGCAGAGCCAGCTCCTGTGGCTGCGGGGGGCACACAAAGTGCCCCTCCAAAAGTGGCCCCATTTTTATTCCTGTGCACGTCCCTGATCAGGGGGTCTCTGCGCCAATGGGGCGCTCAGAGCCAGGCTCTGCCCTGAGCCCTGGGCCCAGCAGAGGAGATGCCCGGCTGGGAGGCAGGGACGGAATCACTGGGGGGTTCCCCAGCAAGGGGCAGCAGCAGCTGCTGGAGGTTCGAGGCAGAAGGAGGGGGTATCCCTGCCCTGGGGGAGCTGCAGAGCAGGGGCCTTTCTCAGGGGGATGCTCCCCCAGCTGCCCCAGCTCTGGTGACACACAGAGGAGTCGGGGCCCAGGGGCTGCCCAGCCGGCCCCGCCCCCAGCCTGGGCCTGCATTCCAGGGCTGGCTGTGTGATGCCCACCCAGGCTGGGGTCTGTTGGGTTAAAGACCAGTGGGAGCTGCACCAGGTGGCTGCTCACAGCTGTGGGGAGACCCCCAAGGATTCCCGGGCAGCAGAAGTGGGGGGAGCTTGACCCTGGTTTTCGGATCAGAACCACACGCTTGTCAAAATTTAATTTTGAACTTGGAGAGTTTAAGGGTTAAAAATCAGTTACAGTGAGTGACCCATGACCAAGATCCTGACAGAAAAAGCCTGGAAAAAATGTGCTTACTGAGAGGGTTGTATTTTAAGCAAAAGGCCCCAGAGCAGGAACTGAGAAATCTGTTAATTGCCAGTGATAAGGAAGCAGCCCCAGCGAAAATGCTTGTAGTGACAAACCAGCAGCTAGAACTTGAACAAAAGTGAAAAATAACTGATATGGAAGGAGAAGCTGCTGAAAGAGAACACCTGTGGTTTGAACATGAACAAACAATGGCAGATATTTGATTGCAGGAACTAGAAGCTAAGGCAAAAGTGGACAGACTTAAGCATCAACTCAAAAGAATAAAAGGACAACAGGAACTGTATCATCCTGAAAACCAGCTCCTCTCAACAGCAAAGATGGGGATAGAATCTCTCCAGTTTGTAACAATGTGGGTGTGTTGTTTGACTCTAAGCCGGTGTCTGTGTGTAACCAAATTTACCCCAACATGGCCCCCTTTTATGTAAATGCTTTTACTGTGAGCTCGGGTGAAGGTAACCCCATAACTTGTGTAGAGAATGTAAAAGTCGATGGTAAAAGCTGTTTAGGGCAAATTACAGACAGAAAAAGCCTGTCAGCCTGTGATGGTTGAAAATTCATCTGTTAACCCAGAGCTGATTCTGGATACAACTAAAGCCCAGGAAGGAAGTGGTCCTGAATTTGTGTCTGCTGGGGAGAACATTGCAACTAGGTTGCATCCAGTTGATGTCATAAATCGCTCCCAGAGACCAAGTGATTCTGGTGCTTCTATTTTGCCTGTTGCTAGTGTTTGCTGGGTAAAGATACAACAACCTTGTCTGATCAGGGAGATATCCTAGCCAGGGCACAAGGAAAACACGAAGGTGATTGGACATTGTTACCCACTGACAGTGTAGAAACTTGGCACAAGGAAGAAAATGCTTCTAACCTGGTGACTATGAAGTCGAGCAGTTTACCTGAAAGGGGTTTTGTGAAAATCCTCGTGATGGGCCAGAGGTGATTCTGGATGGATGTGAAACTCAGGAGTTTGGTGATTTGTCTGTGGTGCCAAAGTCAGTTCTGGACATAAATAAAGCTCAGAGAGAACCTGTTGCAGTGCCCGATATTGCAGAGGGAATGGAATTTCTTGGTGAAGTCCCTGAAGTCTGTGAAAAGGAATTGTTTCCATTGACTCTGAAAGGGCCATTGTTGATAGTAAACAGTCTCTCTTCTGAGAAAAGTGTGTTGGTGCCTAGTAGGCAACGTCTTTCAAATGAAAATGAATCCACGGCATGTGCTTTGAAAAAATCCAGTGTGGAGAGCTTTAAGGAGATTTCAGCTGGAATAAAAATTGTTAGGGAGTTTAAACAGCCCTATATGCTTAACCAGCCTGTCAGGGAGACAATGGTGCAGGGACAGGACTGTCTCCATGTTGATTCTTTGAGTGACAGTCTGTATCTCAGGTTCAGAGGGCTGACTGGACAGCTGAATCTGCAGAGCAGGAGGACAGTTGTGCAGTTAATCTCTCGAGAATACAGGGGAAAGCAGGCAAATTCTCATCCCTAGGTATTTCGGAGATGACTTGTAGTCTCTTAGTGGACCTGACATCTGATTCCATGTGGAAGCAGAGGTTGGTAAGGGAAGGACAAAAGAACCTTGACTCTAACGTGGTAGTGAAAATGGACGGTATCGCTTTAAGACAGGGTCCAGCCTTGGAATTGGTAAAGGTTGAGGATTTGAAAACTAGTAAACAAGCTACTGTCTGTGTTGATGCAAATTACCTGACTGTCTGGGGGGAGAGAGTTACCCACTCCTCACTTTACGTCGTCCCGGTTAATGTTGTTTCATTGTTATGTTGCTGATCAATTAGGGGACATGCTCGTTTAAAGTTGCACAATGCTCCCTTATAAGGTTGTTTGGCAGCCGCCTGCTTTGTCCACTGCTTGCAGGAAGAGCAGTCCATTGGATCGAGCTGGTGGGTGCTTGGAACCAGGGTGGACCAGCAGCCCCCCATCAGCTCCCCTAAATTCCCTGTGCGGAAGCCGCCCTGCAGGCTATCAGTTGCCGGGGAATTCAGCTGTCCCTCCCCCCACTTCCATGTGCTGCTCCTGCCCTCTGCCTAGGAGCTGTCCCCCTCCCCCCGCTCCTGTACCCCATCTCCTGTACCTTATCTCCACGGGGGGGGAGGGACACTACAGGGCTCAGGATGGAGGGAGCTTGCTGGCAGCAGCTGCTGTCCTGATATACTTAAAAAGACAAGGTACTTAGAGTGGGGTCAATGTATTTAAAGGGGCAATGCTCGTCTCTCTCACACACACACTGTGTGTGTCTCTGTGTCATGGACTCACAGGTCATGCTCACTCTTGGCCCCGTACGGTCCCTGGGGGAAACCCCCTTCAGTGTGACAGCCCTTCTCAAGGGTCCACTCTCTCGGGGGTTAAGCCCCTCCACCTCCTAGAGCCGCACCTCTCTGAGCCTTAGCATGTCTGTCTCTGTCGTGGACCCCCTCAGGGAGTCCACTTGCTCTAGACCCCCGGGGTCTCCACTCCCAGAGGGAATAATGCCACCCTGTTCTCTAGCCTGGAGCGACTCTCAGCCAGTGTAAAACAGGACGGGTTATTGAGCATCTGAACACAGCACAGGAAACTCTCAGGGCCTCAGGCATGACCTACCTCAGCACAGCTCATCTTAGACTTTCCTGAATCCAGGTGGGCTTTGCCTGCTCCCCCTCTCCAGCCCCAAGCCCCCCTGCTTCCCAGCTGGGCATCTGATATCACTGGCCCCAAGCCCTGCCTCTGTCCATTGTCTTCTCTCCAGCGAAATAGGATCACCTGGGCCTCCACTCCTCTCTTCTCTCCTCTGGTCCCCTCTGGCTGGAACCGGCTGGTCAGGTCACTGGGGTCCTGACCCCACAGCCCATTGTCCTCCCACTGGGCAGAACCGGCTGTGACTCCTGAGCTGGGCCTGCTGTTCACCAGGTCACCAGTCACTGGGGTCTCCATTCTCCAGGTCATTGGCTGGGGTCCCAAGTTCCCTCTCCGGTCCTCTGTACCAACAAACTCCCTCTCCCCTCACCTCGTTAAACCAGTAACACCCAAGGACACTGAACCCCACCCCCTCTGCATGCAACCCACTGGAAAAACAAGGAAAAAGCAAGAAAATCCCGCACCTCGTCACACTTTGTCTCTCCTTCTCTCTCTCTCTCTCTCTCTCTCTCTCTCTCACACACACACACACAGAGGTTTGTGTCTCTGTCTCTCTCTCACGCTGTGTTGTAGAGTCTGAGGCTCCATTAACAACACTGTGTTAACCCCTGAGGGCTCAGCCGAGTGCTAGTTCATCATTTAGCAGTAAGGCTCCCTGGGAAATATCCCACCTTCTGACTCCACCACCTCAACCAAGCTTCACAGTCATCATTGCTATGTCCAGTTTTCAATTGTTTGTTTAAAACTTATACTGTGTGTGTGTGTGTGTGTGTGTGTGTGTGTATCTAAACTATAGTCTTTTGTCTGGTGAAAAACATTTCCCTGGAACCTAACCCCGCCATTTACATTAATTCTTATTGGGAAACTGGATTCACTTCACATGGTTTTGCTGAAAGTAGCATTTTTCAGGAACAGAACTACCACGTTAAGTGAGGAATTACTGTACAATGAAAGAAGACATGAATGTTCAACAGATCAAGACTTTTAAAATGATGCCTCACAAGGCAACTTTGTACCCAACCGATCATAATTCTATTGTAGTGGGGAACATGGGGGCTCCAGGGAGCTACTTTGAGGTACAGATTGTCACACTGTGGTATCACCACGGCGCGGCCAGGGCCTGAGCAGGAGGCCTTGAACGTGTGAGGAAGAGACTGTGAACTTCCTTTCCCTTGCAGAGGCTGCTGTTTGTGGTGTCCCCGTGCCCACAGGGCAGGTGACTTGTTTCCTTTAACCTTCCCCATCTTTTCCTTATTTTTTATGAGTTGCTGTTTAATAAATGGTACGTGTTCTGAACTCTATGTACTGATCAGTGGGTCAGGGAAGCATCGGGTGCAGAGAGTGCCCTGGAGTGGGGACACCCTTGCCCCTGACCACAACAAGACAGGGGGTCGAGCCCCCAGGGATCTGGGGCCCAGCCTTGCCGGGGTTATGAGGACTCTGCCACACGGGAAGGAGGAAGGGGAGTCCTCGAGGTCAGGCAGGCCTCTAGGTAAAGGGAGTAGGAGCGAAGACTCAGATCCTTTCACTAGCCAATCCCACTGGGGCGTGTATAACCCAGGAAAGTTCCCCACAATAGCGGGACCATTCCCTCGCTTACACTAGGAGCGGGGTCAGCGGCCGCCCTGTCCGTCCATCTGGACAGTGAAATGAACCGGTTCCTCCCCCCAAAGCCCAGCTGGTCTGGAAACAAGCGGCTCTGCTCCAGTGACTCCCGAGGGAACGAGACTTGGAGCCGGTCTGACTCCAGCTGTTGGCCGCGGTCGCTCAGCCCCCATTTCAATAGACAGGCCGGGTTTGATTTCTTGTCCGTGGGGTTAAAAGCTTTGCCTTTGAACGGCTGCTGCTGGTGGTTTGCCCAGGAGCCGAGTAGAACCAGGGGCTCGGTTTGAAACGAGCCCCGGCCCCCGGCCTGTGTAACGCTGGTGAGGGAGAGAGTTTCCAACCCCCCTGAACCCTCTGGGCCTGTGAGACCCTCTGCAAAGAGCAGCTGGGTACGGGAATTTGGGGGGGGACAGGCCAAGGGTCATGCGGGGGAAGAGAATAGAGGGGAGCCGGGCTGAGGTCAGAGAGGAAGTGGGGACAGGAATTTGAGGGGACACAGAAATGGGGCAGCTGGGTGGGTGGTGGAGTGCGACGGGACAGGCATTGGAGGGAGTTGGGAGAGGGAGTTGAGGTGGAAGGGGAATGGGGGCGAGCAGGACGGGGGATGGGGATGGAGTCGGAGTCGGCGGATGGGGTGTGTGGTGGAGGGCTTTGTTTTCTGGCTAAAACTCTGGCTGAGCTGGGGCGCCTCTGGCCAGCTTGGGAGAGGCGGGGAGCCAGGGGCAGGCGACGCCTCCCAGTGCCCCCCATGGCATTGGGGCAGGTTCACCCTGAAATGCTCACAAGGGGGGAACCCAGGCACCCCCCAGCCGTAGGGGGCAGCTTCCATTGTCCTTCCTTCCCCGCCACTGCCCTGCCCAACTCAACCCACACCCCTCACCCCCCAATGTTCCCCCACATTCTACCACCCTCTGTATTCCCCTGCTTCTTACTGCCTCTCCCTGTCTAGGTCGGCACCATTTCCCTGAGGGCAGCCTGAGCATCAAGCCCAATGGGGACACTGGGAGATGGCGGCCATCTTCACTGATGGCGGGGGATGGGCATTTGAGGGGAAACAGGGCAGGGGAGAAGGGTGTGAGGACAGACGGGCTGTGGGGGGGGCAGGGTGTGTGCGGGGCAGGCTTGGGGAGATTCGACGGGGGATAGGCCAGGGGGCAGGATGGGGGACAGGGGGCCGGATGGGGTGACTCTGCTAGACAGCGAATCTGCTGCTCATCCCCCTACTGCTCTCTGAGGCTGAGAGCAGCTATGAGGGTACTCTCCTCAGCTGTTGGGGGGCAGCTGGTGAGCAGGGGGCTGGGAGATGTTAGAATCCCATTGGGACCATCGGCCGGGCTCCTGGCTGAACCATCTTCTAACTCTGCCGCCGAGTAATGTGAGAATGGATGGGTGACCATCACACCCAGGTCCTGGCTCCCAGCCCCCTGCTCTAACCACTAGACCCCACTTCCCTCCCGGAGCCAGGAATAGAGCCCCCTGCTCTACAGCTTTCTCCTGCCCTCTAGCCAATGGCGTATACACAAAGCCTGTGTCACGTCCCTCTCTAGGGTCCTGGCCACATAACCACTGACAGTGTCTCTTCCAGCTCAGGGGCAGAGTCTCTGCGGGGCATTAGAAGGTCCCTGGGTCTCTCCCGGCTGGTGACCCGTTGGGGGCCCAGGATGGAATTTCTCCGTCCCTGATTTTCTTTTATTCCTCATTTAATTCGCACACTGAGAAAAGCCCCTTAGAACCAGGCATTACAGTTTAAACCTGTCATCACCGCTCAGCTATGGCGCAAGGGGCAGCAAACCCAGGTGTTCCCCATCGCGCCCGCTCCTCACACGGTGCCACGGCTTGTGTCGCAGGTGGGCAGGTTGACAGACTGAGCGTGAAGGCTGCAGAGTCTAGGGCCACCCAGAGGGGGGGCAAGTGGGGCAATTTGCCCCAGGCCCCGGGGCCTGCAGGGGCCCCCATGAGAATATAGTATTCTATAGTATTGCAACTTTTTTTTATGTAAGGGGCCCCCAAAATTGCTTTGCCCCAGGCCCCCTGAATCCTCTGGGAGGCCCTGGCAGAGTCAAACCCTCCAGCACTAGGAAATGCCACAGTTACGGTTTCCTGAGCAATCTTAAATCTGCCCCTCATGCAGCTCCATTACGATGCCAGCCTTTAATTGCATGATCAGGTATTAATTTTACCTAAATGGGTCATCAGCCACTTGAACCCAGAATGAAAAGGGGATGGAATTTTCATGGAAATCATGGTCAGTGGAAGATTGAAGACCAGACTCTGTGGTCACCTGGTTCCTAGCCCAGCCCAGAGCACCTTTCACAAGGCTGCAGGGTACATTGAGGGACCTGTCCCCCCTCTCCACAGAGACACAGACAAGCTGTGAGCTGCATGACACTTGGCCAGGCTGACAGTCCCAGCGTTGGATTTTGCAGGGACTTTTGCTTTCTTTGACCGCAGTAGATTTCGCCTGCAGATTAGAGACAGCATGTGAGGGATGCAGGAAGAGACGAAACATTGTTGACTTCCTGTAGCTGGAGCCACCAGCTGAGTTCCTCATTCAGGGCTCGGTGGAGCTTGGCACCGGGGTGGTGGTGACAGCGCTGAGGGGCCCCTTGCTGCCCCCATTATGGCATCTGCTCCCATGATCATCTTCCTTGGTGAGTATTGGAGACACCCAGGGCTTCTGTCCATATGGGGGCGGGATGTGAGACCAGGGCATGTGCCCATGGGGGGATGTGTGACCACCAGGGCATGTGCCCACGGAGGGATGTGAGATCAGGGCACGTGCCCATGCGGGGGGGGATCTGAGACCAGGGCATGTGCCCATGGGGCATGGAGGATCTGAGTCACTCTGGGATCTGTTCACTAACGAGCCGTCTCCTCTCCAGGCTGCTGGCTGGCCGGGCAGAGCAGGGTGTCGGGACGTGAGTATCTGTGGGGTAGGGGAAACCTTAGTGTTCAAGATGGGGAGGGGGTAAGGGGGAGAGGAAAAGAGGAGCTTAGCCCTGAAACTTCACCTCAAAAATCAGTTCAACCTCTTTGTATTGATCCCAGGGGACTGAGATCAGAACCTGGCCCTGCCCCCAGTGCAGTCTGGGGTGAGTCCTGATTGATGGGGAAGAGTGACCAGACCTCCCATTTTTAAAAGGGACAGGCCTATATTTAACCTTCCTGCAGGTGTCCCAACTTTTTCTTAAAAACAGGCAAATTATCCCGTATTTTCTGTCTCCCCCCCCCCCCCCGCCCCACATCAGTACTGTCCGGATCCCTGCTCACCAGCTGCCAAGGGTGAGTTGTAGGACCAGTGGCTGACGACGGGGTGGGTGTGCAGGGCTGGTGGCAGGGAAAAGATGCAGCGTGTGGGGTCCGCCGCTCCCCTGCTTGTCCATCAGCACAGCCCCTGCAGCACCAGCTCCTGGCCAGCAGTGCCCTGCCCTGTGTCCCATTTCTGTCTGGCAGGAGCTGCGGTGGCTGGTGGTGGCTGGTGGGTGCAGGCCGGTGCCAGGCAGCAGCCGGTTACGTGTCACCTCTGCTGTCCAAACATTGGCCTTTACGTGCTCCCCCTCTGGCTGTCCTCTCCCTGCTTTACCCCTTCATCCCCCAGCCCCGCTGCTGCTCCATATCCCCCCGGCGGAGTGCAGCCCAATCCAGCGCTGTGCAGAGAACCAGCCCCTGGTTGGAGTGCTCAGCTCACCCACAGCCTGGCTGGCAGGCTCCTCCCTTCCTCCCCCCACTGCCTCTGGCTGGGCCGGCACCCTGGGAAAACCCAAGATGGGGAGGTGGGGGGAAGGGATTTCCAGCCTGTTCCCACCCTGAACCTGCAGACTCCACACCAGCCCCCCAGGCAGGGGCTTAGCACCCTCTTCACCCCCGACCCCCTCGCCCTGGGTCCTGCCCCCAGGGAGCACGGGGCTGCTCGGTCCCCTAGGCACCTCCCCTGCTGAGCCCCGTCTCTGGCCGGGGTCACTGAGGCCCCTGCAGTCAGGTTCCCTGGGCCCTGGTGCACAATGCAGCCTTAGGGCTTAACCTCTTCCTGCCCGCGCGGTAGCTGGGGGACAGGAGGCTTCTGGGTTATGTGGGTGGCCAGCAGCAGCCTGGGGGTATTCGCTGCCTTTCCGCACTGTGCGGGCAGGAAGGGACAAGCTGCTTCCATCCATGGTGGAGAGGGGGAGAGATGAGCTCTGCAAAGACACGGGCCAAGTCATCCCTCCCCCCCATGACGTTATGAGCGTAATATAATATTTCATTGGAAGGTGACAGGGCCAGAAAGAGTTAATTAACTCACAGATTGACCTGACCCATGGCCAAACTTTAGAAATTGGTTAGGAAAATATGTAAATAAATAAAGCTTTGAAATGCAAGTGTGCATTGTTAGAGAGAGACGGGTAGTGTTTGCTCAGGTCTTGTAATATAAGCAAACAAGTCTTGTCTATTGCTATAGCTTTAATTCAAAGATCAAAAAAGGAATATTAACATTTATAATGAAACTTGAGGGAAATAGCATTATTGTCTATATGTCTCTTTGAAGGTTGTGGTAACCTGTATCTGAACTGTTTAATGGATAGATTAACCTGTGCTAATTGCCAGGATGTTTGGGAGAAGGAGAGTTAAGCCTATTGTTTTCTCAGGCCGAAAGGCTGCTGGTAATGTATAAGAACCCTGGGACACAATCCTTCTTCATCTCAGCTCCGCTTTGGGTTTCAAGAGGGGGAAACCTTAAGCCACAAGGATTGAGATCCCCAGTCACTGACCGGAGTCACCCTGAATATGGACATTGGACTATAACCTCTGGACTATATCTCTAAAAGGACTTTTGGCAACTACAAGCTCATCTCTGCTATGTGTCTGAATCTCAAAAATTGAATTCAAGTCTGTACGTATATTAATCTTTCAACCAACACTCTCTCTCTTTTCTTTTTTAATAAATTTTAGTTTAGTTAATAAGAATTGACTATAGCGTGTATTTTGGGTAAGATCTAAGTCATAATTGGACCTGGTATGTGGCTGATCCTTTGGGATTGGAAGAACCTTTTCTTTTATATGATAAGATGAGATTTTCAGTAATCATCATCGTATCTAGCATGTGTGTCTGGACGGAGGCCTGAGGCTGGGCACTTTAAGAAAACTGCGTTGTTTGTATTTCTGAGTAACCAGTGAGGTATTACAGAAGCTGTTTTGGGCTGGTTGGTAAATCTAAGTATTGGTAGATCCACCAGCATTTGGGGTTTGTCTTCCCTGTTCTGTTTGCCGTTCACCCTAATTAAGTGACCTCAGCTGGCTCCCACAGGCAGCACCATCACAGTGGCGTAGTCGGCGGGATACACAGAACTAGGTCAATGAAGCTTTGGGTCAGAGCCCCACGCTATCCAAATTTGAATTTTGGTATTGAGAGTTTGGTTAGTTAAGGAGCAGTTGCAATGGATGAGCAAAGAGCATATGAGGCCTTGACAGAAAAGCCCTGGAAGATTTGTGTTCAGAAAAGGGCTAAGCTTTAAAAAGAAAGCTACGAATCAAGAACTGAGAGATCTGTTAATGGCCAGGGATCAGGAGGCAGGAGCACAGCCCTTACCCGAGGCTTCAGAAACTGCAGAAGCCATTAGAATGCAAAAGGCAGCAAATAAACTGCAACTTGAGCATGAACAGAAACTAGCAGATCTTCGATTGCTGAAAACGCAAAAAAAAATAGCTAAATTAGAAAGAGAAGCTGCCGAGAGGGGGAAAGAAGCTGATGAAAGGAAGAATAAAGCTCAACAGATGCAACAGGAGATGGCCAGACTTCAGCTACGCGTATTGGAAGAGCAGAGAAAGTCACCACCGCCTGGTGTTCCACTTCCCCACTGCCAGGAAAAAAACTGGGAAAGGATGTGTCCCATCTACAATGATGCTAAGAATATAGAGGAGTTTTTGGGTACCTTTGAACGCCTCTGCAATCTGTACCAAATCCCTGATGATCAGCGAATGCCTGTCCTGCTGACCAGACTGACTGGAAAAGCCAGGGAGGTATTTAATGAATTGGGGGACCAAAAAGCCTTGGATTATAAGTGGTTTAAAAATTCTGTGTTAAGGCAGTTCAAGGTTACTCCTGATTCTTACAGAGTTAAGTTTAGAAAGTTTAAGGTGTCTAATGATTGTATTTTTGTAGAATGTGCTCATAAGCTGATGGGTTTTGTCAAAAAGTGGGCTATGGGCGCCAAGGCACATGGGAGTTTTGAAAAACTGCTGGATTTAATAACTTTGGAACAGTTCTTAGACATTGTGCCTGACCATGTGAGAGCAGCTGTGTGTGATAGGGACCCTGAGTCAGTCCTATGGGCTGCAGAGATTGCGGATGCCCATACCCAAAACAGGGCTTGGAAAGGGTGAAAATCCAATGGAAAAATTAATCACCATTCTCCCCAGTTCAAGAGAAGGGAAGGATTTAAAGGTAAACCTGGCACCAACTCTTATAAAGTTGCTCATGGGGTCCCAGAGGATAGAAGCTCTCACCCCAAGACTAAACAGGTTAAATGCTATCACTATGGTGTGCTTGGCCACATGAGACCAGACTGCCCGACACTGAAGGGCGGCCCAAAACCAGCAACCCCAAATGCCACGGCCAATGCTAACCCTGTTGTTGTAAACTCACAGGCAAGCCTCACAAAGCGCAGCGTTGGTGCCCTGTGTGCAAATGCTGTTTCTGTGGTCTCAGAAGAATTTGACCTTAAAACTCACATTAGAGCTAAATATGGGGGAAATAATGCAGAGTTTATTAGCAGTGCAGAAGTGAATGGAGTACGGTGAATGGCATAAAGGAACATTGCAACAGATATTACTTCGGTCAAAGCAAGTTTTGTCAGAAAGGAAGATTATTTGCCAGATGAAAGTGTAACTGTTGTAGCTTTGGCTAAGTATTTTGTCAGGGTGCCTTTGGCTAAAATCCACCTTAAATGGAAGGGATTTGATGGCACCATGGTTGTGGAAGTAAAAGACACCATCCCTAAGGATCTTATGATTGGGAATGATATTAAAGCTATGTTCAGTCAAGTTAACATAAACCAGGCACAGAAAAGGATTAATCCTAAGGTTGTGTCTATGGGTATGTCTACACTACGGGATTAATCCGAATTTACAGAATTCGAATTTTGGAAACAGATTGTATAAAGTCGAATGTATGCGGCCACACTAAGCACATTAATTTGGCGGTGTGCATCCATGTACCGGGGCTAGCGTCGATTTCCGGAGCATTGCACTGTGGGTAGTTATCCCATAGCTATCCCATAGTTCCTGCAGTCTCTCCCACCCATTGGAATTCTGGGTTGAGATCCCAGTGCCTGATGGGGGAAAAAACATTGTCGCAGGTGGTTCTGGGTACAGCCTCACCCCTCCATCCATGAAAGCAATGGCAGACAACCGTTTCATGCCTTTTTTCCTGGGTGAACACAGCAGACGCCATACTACGGCAAGCATGGAGCCCGCTCAGCTCAAGACAGCAGTCATGAACATTGCAAACACCTCACGCATTATCGTGCAGTTTATGCTGAACCAGGACCAGAAAAACGAGGCAAGGAGGAGGCGGCGACAGCAGTGCGGCGATGAGAGTGATGAGGACATGGACATGGACACGGACACAGAATTCTCTCAAACCGTGGGTCCTGGCACTTTGGAGATCATGTTGTTGATGGGGCAGGTTCTATCCGTGGAACGCCGATTCTGGGCCCGAGAAACAAGCACAGACTGGTGGGACCGCATAGTGTTGCAGGTGTGGGACGATTCCCAGTGGCTGTGAAACTTTTGCATGCGTAAGGGCACTTTCATGGAACTTTGTGACTTGCTGTCCCCTGCCCTGAAACACCAGAATACCAAGATGAGAGCAGCCCTCACAGTTGAGAAGCGCGTGGCGATAGCCCTGTGGAAGCTTGCAACGCCAGACAGCTACCGGTCAGTC